TCAGCACTGTTGACTTATTCCCTTAGTATCATTTTTTTTTACTTTCTTACCATAGTAGAATTATATAACATGAAATTACCTTCCTAATCTTTAATGTTATTTTCCAGGCAGAATTTTCAGAACTCAACCTGGTGGCTCATGCAGATGGGACCTATGCCGTGGATATGCAGGTACTCCGGAACGGCACAAAGGTTGTACGGTAAGGTCCTTTCTGTCCTCAGGGTTACTGTTACTGTCTCCAAGTTATCATCTCTGGCTTACAGAGGCAGTTTCAAAATCAAGTGTTGAAGTGGGATAATAATGCTATGTATAGTGTGCAGAACTTAATGGTGTGTATAAGGAGGCAAAGAAAACCAGCTACTCCCTCGGGGAGCTCTTATTCCAGTGGTAGAGAAAGCTTCATGGACTGAGTTTACTTAGAGGTAACTAAATTTCTGTCAGAGGGGTCCTGGAACTCTAGCCCCAGTTCAACCAGTGCAGCTCTGTGCTTTTATCTCTGCATATATTTTCCTGGAAATCAGGATTTAATTGCTTTAAAAAATGTTCGGACCTGGCTTGTATGGCTCAGTGGGTTTGGTGTTGTCCTGCAGAAAGAGGGGTTGCCAGTTTGGTGTGCTCAGGGTGCACGCCTGGGTTGCAGGCTGGGTCCCCAGTTGGAGGCATGTGAAGGGTGGCCAATCAATGTTTCTCACCTCTTTTTCTTCCTGCCTTCCATTCTCCCTAAAAATAAATAAATAAAATCTTATTTAAAAAATAAAAGAAGTTGTACAGCCTTAAAAAAAAGTTTGAAAACCTCTATGTAATTCAACCTCCTATTTTACATTGATTTGCTTAAATTCACAGAGTGAGTTGGTAGCAGAACCCTGTATTCTATGTGAATTCTTTTAACTTCTCGTCTTGTGTTCTTTCTGTATTCCCCACCCAGGGAACTCATAACTCTGACAAGAAAACCCAGAGTCGAAGTGACACTGTTGGTACAAGAAAATTTTTGGTTACAGAGCACTTATATGCTAGGTAGTATGCTAGGCACATGTATACATGATCAAATGTAATACAAGAGTTCCGTGAGGGAGGTGATGAGAATTCTAGATTGGAGGAAATTATTTCCACAGTATTATTCTTACCAGCGGCTTGGTGTGGCTTCAGGTTTTCAGATATCAGAGTCTTGGTCCAGGAAGAGTCTTCATTTTACTTTCTTCCCTATTTCAATCTGTAGTACTTTGACAGCAAGGCCTCTAGTATCTAATAAGAACTGGGACAGTGACAGGAAAGGCAAAATTTAGGTATCTGGCACCTAACAACAGAAAATGTGGGCTTGTCCATCCTGAGTTCATCTATCCTGGAGACTAAGGAGGAGGGCAGAAAAAGAGATGTTCATCCTGCAAGAGAGACAGTGGGTTTCTCTAGCTGCAGGTAGAGTGAATTATGGGGATGCAAGCACAAACCATGTGGTAACAGGGTGCTGGGAGGGATCTGGCAAGAATAAGACAGGCCCTTCCAGGTACCAGGAACTCAAGAGCTGGCCACAAGTCTAGAGCTCAATTCCTATAACTGGGATATGAGGTTTGATCTTAGGCATACAGCCGGAGCCAGTTTCTCAGAATTGGGGCACTTGAAAGTCAGAGCATCTCCAGCACTTGATGCTAAGTCTTCTGAGAGACTGAGGAAGGCTCCTACCAATATCACTTTAAAAGAATGATCTCCTAGCCTGGGTGGGAGAACTGTAGGTAGGGGTTGGATGAATGCCTGAGCAGAGAACCAAGTAGGTCATTGCTATGGTGTGAAACTGCTGAATCCTAGATCCTTGAGGATGGATGCTGCCACAGAATTGAATCTCGAAGAAGATGAGGTCCCTTAGGAGTAAGTGTATGAAGACAGTGGCCCTAGTACTGTGGATCAGCTGTGGCTAAGAGTTTTGCTGGCTAGAGGTGAAATGCAGGGAGCCTTCCCAGGCATGGGAACATTCTGTACTCTTAGTGCTTCCTGTAGCTGTTGCTCAACCTCAGTCCTGCAAGAAAATATTTGTACCTCTCCCTAGCGTCCGCTTTGGAAGAACAACATTGGGAAGTCTGGCATCTGGTCTCAGCCAGCCTGAACCCTTGCTCTCCTGGGGGCATGATGAGGGCATTGCCTATTTTAAGGAGCAGATTTAAGGAACTTCAGCTTTCACACTGACCCATAGTGACAGGAAAAATCTTGTTCACTTAAGGTGTGAGGATCTGTTTCTTCCTTCCTGAAGACATTTGCATCTTAGAAAAAGGCCATGTTTAACCCGGAGGAATAGGAATTTCAGAAATATATTTCTCAAATCTCCTTTGAGATGTGCCATAATGTCTCATTTCTAGTCCATAAAGAAGAGAAATAATAAAGTAAGGGGCTTGGATCAGGTGGCCCTTAAGACCTCTTCTCTACTTTGGCCTTTGGAAATGGGAGATAAGGTGACACGACTTGAGGTGATGTTTAATGGCAAACTTGCCTCTATGTTCTTACCAGGTCCTTCCGGCCAGACTTTGTGCTCATCCGGCAGCATGCATTTGGCATGGCGGAGAATGAGGACTTCCGCCACCTGATCATTGGCATGCAGTATGCAGGCCTCCCCAGCATCAACTCACTTGAATCCATTTACAACTTCTGTGACAAGCCGTGGGTGGTAAGTGAGGTCTCCTTCCTCCCAGGTAAAAGGGGAGGATCCAGGTTATGCATCTCCCAGTCCGCCAGGAGGGACCACTGGTAAACAAGATGCAGTAGGCACTAGCTGAGAGGTTGTGGGAAGGAGCATCAACTGGGACATAGGAAGGGCAGGCTCTCACAAGAGAATGGTATCATCGCGGGCTGGGGCACCTTAGTTGCACAGTGGGCCTTTGGCTTCACAGCAAAGTCACACCAAAATTCTGTGTAGAAGTCCTTACAAGTCTGTAGGCTCTGTCCTCAGCCATAGGATGCAACAATAAAAATACCTGTTTCTTGCCTTTGAATGGTCTATCTATTGGAAAGCCCTGAGGCCAGTGGGGACCAAGGAGATGGTCCATCTCAGTGGGATGTTAGTGACAGTCTTACCAAGTGTTTTAACAACCTCAAATTCAGATTTATGCACATAAGTATGAATCAGACACTTGTATGAGCTAGAAGTGCCCTTAGAGATCAAACCTCCACCCTTCATGGTAGATATATGAAAATACAAAAGGAAAGTAAGGAGTATAAAACCATTTACTATATTGCACCAACATCTGAGATTTTCCTATTTTAATTTTATTTAATCTTCGCACTAACCTTACCAGGATGGTATTAGTATCATTATTACCACTTTTTAGAGAGACATGAGACCCAGAAAAGGTTAACTTAACAAAGTTACACAGCCAGGATTTCTCTAGATTGTACTGTCACTCACATAAATTAAGTTACCATGTGAGGAAAAAACTGCTGTTCTCTTCCTTGGCTTGTCTGGAAATCTAGGAGGCAGTGGAAACTTCTGAGCAGAGAAAAAGAGTGGGGCCAAGAGGGAGAGTGACCTTTGATGGCTATTGTGGCGCTCTGGCCTCTCCTCTGACAGCTGAAGCCACCCAGGTCCAGTAGCTCTGCTGCTGCAGGCTGGCCCTCTCAGAAGGAAACACCTGCCCCTAATCACATCCTCCTCCTCTTGTTTTCCAAAAATCAAATTTCAGCTATCACATACTGGCTTGCCAAGAGTCATGGCACCAGTGGCTGATTTTGAAGTTTCTGGACCTCAAGCTTCTCCACCACTCAGGGAGCTGAAGGTGGTAGGATGTTTTTTGTTGTTGTTATTTTGTTTTTGTTTTTTAATGAACTAGACCCATTGCCTCTGCTCTTGATCTTTTTTTCACACCTGAACTCAAAGTTTACACATTCCCTTGAAAGCCAGGAAGAATCAAGGATATGAGAGAAAGAGTCAAAAGACCTGGGAATTGCTGTGGTTGAAAAGGAAGGTTGGGTTCCCCTTTTTCAGCCTTTCCCTCTGTGTGGCCTAAGGCATCTGGAATCCTAGTTTTACAGAAACAAGCTAAAAGGGTTGTGATTTGAGTGTGTTGTTACTCACAGAAGAACATGCACAAGGCCTTCACCAAGCCTCCACCAAGCCTCATTGTAGGGACCTCCCCTTTCTCCTTAGTCATGTGACCATCCCTACTACACGTAATGCCCTCATCCTTCCCCCAGTCTTTTTAATACCTGTTAGAATTTGGCTCCCTCATAGCCACACAGGGCAATTCTGCTATTGTCAGCTATTCTGGGTGATTTCACTTATCAGCCTTCTGACTAAACCCCTCTCTGCCATGGTTTCTTTGTTTGTAAACTAGGAATAATATTACCTGCCACCAGTTTGCCATTCTGGCTGTTAGAGTCCCCTAGAATTTGGGACCTCTTATAGAAACTGGTTCCCTGCTTTATGTTTTAAAAAAAAACTGTGCCAGAGGCAGGGAGGAGAGGATCAGAGAGCCTGTGCCTAGGACTTTGCCCCTCCTGGGATCTGGGATCTGGGATCTGGTGAGGGTTCACATTCTCACCCATTCACATTCTCACCCAGCACATTGCCTTTGGCATTGCATCAGAACAGCAGGGCTCCCTGGCTAGACACCAAGTTCTCCCTTCCTTTTTACTAAGCAGCTGCCAAACTAATGGCATTTTATATACTTGTATTGTTCTCTGCCTGGTGTTAATGGGAGTGGACAAATTCGGTGACTATGAGGGGAGGGGTCTCTCTAAGATGATGACTTTGGTTCATATTTTCTGAATTTCTTAGCTTGGTGTGAGGAAAGTCCTCAGTTGGTTGGAAAATGCTCTACCTTATGTCACTGTGTCTCTGAGCACATCTGCATCTCATAAATTGGTCAGAGGGCACACTGGGATTTTGAAAGGAGAAGTGGACCTATTGTTGAAAGGAGCATTCCAGAGAAAGCAAGAACATCTCCACACTATACTGCCGCAAATGTATCTGAAATCCCTGTCACTCTTTCTAGGTTTTTTTAGAGACAGATGCACTAGAGTTGAATTAAATGTTTTATTTTCAGGAGGGGTAAGGATAAGTTGTTAAATTCAGGCTGATCTTGAAATCCCATTTCTTCTAAGAAGTCTTTCCTGATTCATTGGATGAGTGGTTATAAAGAACATTATCTTGCTCTTTGTTGCCAATACCACCACCCCCCCAGCTCCCAAATCCATTCTTTTGTCTATACATAGAGGAAATAACCCTTATCAGATATTACATTTGTTTAATTGGTGACTGTGTGCTTGTGATTTAATCTAAGTTTCCAAGGAGGTAGGAGTTAGGTGCCAAACCCAGTACCTTGAACAGACAGGGACTGTTAGAGATAAGGTTGAGGAGGATGGGGTGAGCTCCCAGGGACCCAACTAGTGCTTGGGAACTGGCTACCGTTTTAGTCCTGGCTGTTCCAGGACTCTGAGAGTTTGCTATGGGCTGTCCTGGCATCAGTGTGGTGCCCGTGTAAGCCTCCCACATGTTGGGAAGATAGAGACTCACATGCCTTGATACCATGCCAGGGCGTGGGCTATAGCAGGACAGAGGTTGTTAAGCAGAGCTGGCTAGGGATGCTGAAGAGCCTTGGAAACTCAGGCAGAGCAGGAGTCCATCCAGGCTGAGGTGGGCAGGCAGGACTTAAGGATCAGATGAGGTGGTAGATAGAATCAGAGGAGGCAGGAAAGGTATGAGGGGTTGGTCTTGATAATGAAAACAGGTTGAAGAACCATAGAATGGTGAGGACAGCAGGGTACAAAACAAAGAATGCACCAGGCAAGAAGAGACCTGACAGCCTCAATTCCAGGCATGGTGTGGGAGCCTAGGCTTCCCTTTCCTTCTCTAGCCTCAGTCTCCTCATTTGTAGAATGAGATGTTTGGTCCAGAGCTCTCTAAAGTCTCTTTCAATAATAAAATCTTAGGAGCTTGAGAGTCCATGAATCATACTTTCAGAAATCTAGAGTCACCAACTCTGTGTTACTAAGGGAAATGATCCAGAAATTTCAGCGTTTTCTAGCATTTCAAAAGCAGTAAAAAAATTATCTTTGCTCACAAAAGGACCATAACAGGTGATCATTTAAACTACAGTTTGATGATGGAGTTCAGGAGGATATATAACAAAAGATGTTGTTTATGGTAAAAAGTTTGAGGAATTGATCAGTTCCCTCATTTTATATATAGAAGAAAATTAGGCCTGGAGAGGAGAAATCATTTGCCAAAGTATACCTACCAAGTTAGAAAAAGAATCAGAAGACCAGTTTTCTAATAACCCAGTTCTGAGCTTTTACTACTCCAGCCCCCTCTTCCCCACTGGCTCATGTGCCAACAACCCTTATAAAGAATAGGATCTGAGCTTTTGAAAATGTTTTAGCTCTCCTTTTTCTGAAAAAATAGAAGGCAGCTTTTCCTTCTAGCAGTTTCCAAAAATCTGTTTCTTAGACTGTGAAGTTACCCAGAAGCACTAGAGGAAGGATGCTGAATTACCCCTGCTGCCAATGCACTAAGATGGGTGTGAATGTGGGGAGTGTGAATGAACCAAGTAGAAAAGTACTGTGTGTTTCCTGGGGCAAGAGCATGGTTTTTGCAGAGCCTGAAAGGCAGCTACTTGAAGGAATAAAAAGAATTATGAATTGGGAATAAAGGGGTCTGGCTCTGAATCTGGTTCAACACCTCTTTTATATACTCAGAGCACTTTACAAAAAACCCTCAACAGAGCAAATGTTCAATAAATATTTTTGATAGACTGTTGTTTAGTTTGTTCTATAAATTGTCTAGATAAGCTGAAATGTTTGCTTTTCTTTCACAGTTTGCCCAGCTGGTGGCGATCTATAAGACATTGGGAGGAGAAAAGTTTCCACTCATTGAGCAGACATACTACCCCAACCACAAAGAAATGGTAGGTGATCAAGTGGGGACTTCAGTTCCTTTACTGTTTCCACTCTGAGCTTAGTCACATGGTAACAATGGGGCTCTGAAGAGGGCTCCAGTATCTCCACCCCAGAGACACTCTGTTGGGGTTGAACTGCAGACCTGCTATGTGTGGCCAGAGTAGCTGGATTTTAGCCGATGGCCCCTTGTTTCAAAAATCTGGAGATAGAATAGGGAAGAGCAGAAACACGGCATTTATCAAACTGAAAAAGTAGCAAACCTATGGAGCATTAATCAAAAGATCTACTGCTTTGGGTTCTAGCCCCGACTCTGCCACGTCATTGGACTAAGTTACATTTACTCATTAACAATTGAAGTGAGATTTTTTTTTAAGTAATAGCCTTTTGGAAAAGTGTGAAGCACCCCTCACATGTCAGGCGTTATTACTACCAGGGCCTTCCATTCCCTTGGCTTCCGTCAAGATTGTGAGAAGACTGGGTTAACATTATGCCTTCTCTGAGGCCATCCAAGGATATCAGAAGGAGCAGAGAGTTGGCATGGTTGGTTGGTATGGAGGCTGTTACTATGGGTTTTCCTCCATGGAGACCTCGACCTCATTCTCCCTTCTTCCTTTCTGTCCCCACATCCTCTGTCCCAGGCCTGCCTGGTGAGTAAGTGATGGTGCTTAACTCATCAATGGAGACTCTCTGCTATAACATTCCAAGTGTACCCTGGGACAGAGATTATGTGTATTACCTCTCAATCCCTTCTCCAAAAGGGATCTCCATTTGTACCATTTCTGTGAATCAAGAGCTTTCTTCTGGCATATTGTCCATGGCCCTGCTTATCAGCAGACAACACAAAGAAGATTAATAACAACCTTGGGCCTTGAAAAGAACTACCTCCTTCATCTTTTCAGAGCTTCCCCAGTGAGAAGCTCTGGAACTTTGGCCCTCACCCTTAATAAATCCTTGAGATCAACATCAGGACTTTTCCTTTTAGAACAGGCAAGGAAGCCCTGCAGAGGCTGAGGAACCCTAAGGGGTTTGTGCTTGGGGTTCTCAGGGAATCCAAGACACAGTGGTAAGGGGACTAAGTGAAAGGGAGGGTGGGGAGTGAAGCTGGATTTTTCCTGCTGTGATATCTAGCCAGGCTGACCACTAAAAGAAGGGAGGGAGGGAGGGAGGGAGGGAGGGAGGGAGAAGAAAAAAATTGCAAAAATATATTCTCCATCTACCATCATTTTTCCCTCAAGGTCTCTTGTGTTATTCCTGTCCTATCATCTATCCTGAAATTTGCTCTCAAAAAATGACCTCTTAAGATCTCTCCGAGGTGTGAAAAACTAAAGGGGAATTTAACTATACAAGAGAAAAGATTTTTTTGGCTTAAAAAGAAAGTTTTCAAGTAGGAATTAAGACATCAGTAATCTAGTAGAGGACTTTCTAAAAGAAACAGAAAAGAAGCCCTATGGACATCAGTTGAAGGCATTAAGGATAGTTAACTTGCCGAGACAAAACCTAAGTCTATTCTTATCCTAAGAGGTGTGCTAACTGGGCCAGACCCTCTGCCAGAAATGGTGTAGAGGAGATAACAGCATGCAGAGGGAGGTTAGGCCATTGTAGGTCTCATATTAAATGACTCTATGCCCTGCAGGTCACTTTCCTAAATAGATGGAAGTGTATGAGAGGATCAGGATGAGTTGAGACTGGAGTAGAGGATATGCAGCCCTATAATATTGTCCTTTTCATTCTTCTAAAGCAGTCTGTTTATGATACTGTCAACCTGTCTTCTGATATTGTACATCAGAAGGCTACACCATCTCATATACATAACATTCAACATTTCTTCCCTATCAGATCAATTAAGGTAAGAGAAAACACATTTTCATAGAAAAGGGAATAGTTCTGGCCCAAACTATTTTGATTCTAAGCCAGAATTAAAACTTTCAGTAATAGGTACTGGCTAGACTGAAAAGGTTTGGGAGGCAGGGGAGAAGGGCTGAGGGTAGGATAGAAAAGTCATGCTATCCCTAGACTTTGACAGGTTCTGGGCTGGGGTCCAGATGAAAGCTGAACATGCCTTAGCCCTGTTCTAATACTAGCCAGACTGTCCACTTGGTACTTCCCATTGGCTGGCAGCAGTGAGGCAGGTGGTGATAGCCCGAGCTCTGCAGGGAAGGAGAACTGGCTTGGTCTTCAGGACTCCTGAAGGATTATGGTGGTCACTGTTCCCCACTAGGGCTGGATGATGTCAATAAACTCCTTCCTGAGGGGCAGGCGCCCCTCGTACCAGCTGCAGGTGCCATCAACATGCTTCATGCAGACATAATGCTGGGCCTGGTACCCATAGAGTTTTCGTTCCAACAGCCAGTCTGTCCAGAGGCACTCGGTGGGGGCCGCAATGGTGCAGGGCACTGTGTAGCAGGTGGTTATCTAGAGTCATAGCCATCAAACATCAAAGTGAGTAAGGTATCTTTTTTCTTATTTCCTTTCAGACTTCTACATATCCTTGCAGGCTAGCCCAAATGCCCCTGCCTTACGAAGTCTTTCCTAGTTTCCAAAATTCTCCAAGTTCTCCTTCCCCTGTGCTCCCCACATGCAGTATTGCCTCTCTACTGGCATCTCTGGGGTCAGACCAACCTGAAGGTCCTTCCTCTACCACTACTCTACCACTGACCTTGAGCAAGTTACTTTACTTCATAGAGCCTTAATTTCTTCACTTAAAATAGGAATCTTAATTCTTCATACATTTGTTATGAAGACTACATAAAAATATTTAAAATAAATTGACCATTAGAGGGACTGGCAAAGAGCAGACTCTGTTTAAAAGGTAGTTATACTATTTCAGTTTGCCTTAGATGATGGCCACCTTCCCCACCAAAATGTATGTAGTTTGAGATCAGGGACTGTGGACCATATTGCTTCTCTATCTCTAATTTCATATAGTGCCTGACCCATGTCAGATCTCAAGTACACTATGCTAAGTGAATAAGTGCATGCATGAAGGAAGGAGTACATAAAGGGTGAGGCTGCAAATCTCAAGACCCATTCCCACCCACAGAAGACCTTGGAAATGGACATTTTCTTACTTGGCAGCCACAATTCAGGTGATAGTGATGATTCAGACTTTCTCTTTGCAAAAAGGACAGGTTCTCCCAGGGCTCAATGTAGTTGCACAGATGGATGAAGACTTTTCCATCACTGAGGACCTGACCTTCAAGGGGAGATGGAGGAGAACCTAGCATGAGGAATCTGTGAAGCTCCAAAACCCTGGGACCTTGAAAAGCCCAGAATTGTAGCCTCTCCAATGTGGTCTGTCTTCCTTCTTCCTTCCTTCCTTCCTTCCTTCCTTCCTTCCTTCCTTCCTTCCTTCCTTCCTTCCTTCCTTCCTCCCTCCCTCCCTCCCTCCCTCCCTCCTTCCCTCCTTCCCCCTCTTTCTTTCTTTCTTTTCTTTCTTTCTTTTCTTTCTTTCTTCCTTCCTTCCTTCCTTCCTTCCTTCCTTCCTTCCTTCCTTCCTTCCTTCCTTCCTTCCTTCCTTCCTTCCTTCCTTTCTTTCTTTCTTTCTTTTGTCCTTCTTTTTATGGCAGTGGTGACATGGGGCTCAATGAAAGGGCCAGAAAAACCTCTATAATCTGTAGATCAAAGATTATGTTTCTACAAAGGAGAATTGTGGGATAAGGAGTTTTCCTTAAGCATGGTGCTACAGAGAACATGGGCTTTAAAGTGAAATTCTTGGTGGAACCCTCTTTTTTTTAATCATTTTCCTGCTGTGTGACCTTAAGAAAGTCATGTAACTTCTCAACTGAAAGATGAGAATAATAAGGTTATTATCAGGATTAAATGAGAAAACATTTGTAAAACTCTCAGCACAGTAGTGGGCCATTAGAAGATGCTCAATAAATAATTGGTCCCTTCCCCTTTCCAACTCTTTCCAATATCTGCATAGGCCAGTCTTTTGCCCCATTGATACCTCTTGGTCTTTCCTCTTCTCCATACAAACATTCCCATTCTTCACTTTTCAAACTCATTCCTATCTTCCAATGACCCTTTTCAGTATCACCTCATCCTCAAAGTCATCCCTGACCATGCTAGCCCACATCTTTTAGAACTTCAGTCACTCAAGCATTTACTTACTGAGCAACTACTAGACCTGGTACCAGGAATACAGAAATAAGTATGACAGGCTCTTTGTCCTCAAGGAGCTTAAAAACAACTAGGTCAGACAGAAGAGTAGGCAAAAAGTACACTGTTGTGTAATTATATACAAGATGCAGTATAAGAACAAAGATAAGCACAATTATCTCTGTCCATGGAAGAGGTGGGGGCAAGGAAGGTATCTAAGAGGAGATGATGCTTCTGTTGGTCCTTGAGAGGATGGCCAGGAGTTTACCTGTCAGACAAGTCCGAGGAAAGACTTCTGGACATTGGGACTGTTCTGTGTAAAGGTGGAGGTGCACAGTCCAGCCAAATACCTTCTATAACCACAAATGAGGGGCTGGAAACTGTCTGTGACAAATGGTAGGAGACAAAGCTGGAGAGGCCAGCAGTGTTTAGGTCACAAAGGGCTTTTAACATTAGGGAGAAGAGCTTGTGCCCTCTCTTGAAGAGCATGGGTGCCACTGATGACTTTTCAGTAGACTTGTGTTTTGTTATTTATCTTCACCCTTGGTTAGTTATGATTTTCTTGAAGGCACAGAGCCTCCTACTTTTCCTAATTCACCACAGTGCCTAGGCAGAGGGGTAGGCACCCACAGGGTAGGTGCTTAGGAAGGAGATAGCTTCATTTGCTGGCCCGGGGATGATGAGGGCTCAGTGGCATGCTTTGCCTCTGCCTCTCCCATACAGAGGCTCCTAGGTCAGCAATTTGACATCCTTAGATCTGGGAGGCCCTACCAGTATGTCCTTCAATGCCCTTGAGTTCTCAAGAGCCAACTCTAGACTGTGAGCTCTTTGAGGACCATGACTTGTTATTGAGTCTCCATTCTCCTATCCAAGGCCTGGCAGCTAGTATGTGGTCATTCATTGCTGAGTGGATGGACAGATAGTGGAATTCCTTCGTTCTCCTTACCTGCTGTCTTTTTCTTTTCTTTACCTTTCTAAGTATTCATCCTTTAGGTTTAATTTAGACCCCATTTTTACAGTGAAGCTTCCCTAACTGTTTGTAGCCACAAGATACCTTCTTTCTAAATTACAAAATAATATAGTATTACATAATGTAGCGTTTGTACATACAGATTCTTCACTTATAGAGTCATAGTCTTATGTGTTTTTTTTTGTTATATCTCAACCTGCTCTGCATGGAGGAGACTTACCAAGTTCATGGAGAGAGACCATGTTAGACTCAAAGCTCCTGTTAAGGTTTTGCTGTACTATACCCCAGAATAGGGGCCTGGGGCATGAGTTAGCCATACAGGCTCACTAATGCCATCATAGGCTACAGTATTACAATGTGTGTGTTGGGGGAGGAGGGGTTACACACACACAATTCTCCTTTACTCTGTGAAACTAAGACCTCTCCTGTAGTGTTGTGTCCAGTTTATTGTCCTGTGCCAGGGAGGGGATATGGACAGGCTATATTCCACTGGAAAAGGTGACCAGAATAGGAGGGGCTGAGAGTGCTCACATCTGTCGTCCTCGGGCCCCTGAGGGATCATTATAGAGCAGAGGGCAGAGCTGAATCGACAAGGAGCAGTTTTAGGATTTAAGATTTAGCAGTTTAATATTTGGGCTCAAAATACCAGAATCCTTATACCAACCGTAACTGTTTGAGCCCTGGCTGGTGTGGCTCAATGTATTGAATGCTGGCCTGCAAGCTGAAAAGTCACCGGTTCGATTCCCAGTCATATGCCTGTATTGCAGGCCAGATCCTGGTTGGAGGTGTGCAAGAGGCAACCAATCAGTGTATCTTTTTGCACATAGATGTTTCTCTCCCTTACACTCTCCTTTTCCCTCTCTCTAAAAGTAAATAAATAAAATCTGAATGGAACCAGCTGCCCTAGGCTGAGCAACCCATCCTTAAAATAGTGAAGCAGTGGCCAAGATCACTGTAATGAGAACTCTTGCATTGAACGGGAAGTTACCAAGCCCCTCCCAACTCAGAGGTTGCCTCTTTGTAACACAGCTCTGTTTTATGCTCACCTGCTCAGAATGAGTCAAGGACAGCCCTGGCTCTTCCTTGGCTGCTGTCCCTAGGACAGAGCCTATTGGGGCCCCTCGCTGCTCTTTAACTTACCAGTCAAGATGTACTGCTTCTGGCTGTTTGCTTCTAGTTTCACGCCACAGAGGGAGGAATCAAAAGGTGTGTAGATATACTGAACATCCTCAACTTTCTCAAACCCTTTAAACATCTGAAAAGCAATTACAAAATAGCAGTATTGGGTCAGTGAGTGAAATTTATATCTCAACAGGAAAAACTCATTCTTCAATCTAAAAAAATTTAAGCATATATCTAGTTCAGGATTTGATGCACACAGATGGCTCAACTGGATCATTTCTGTCTTTTAAAAAAAATCTGAACCTTGGTTTATTCCAGTGAGAGGGGAAGTACCTCCAGCGGCCCCATGCCCAGGACTAAAGGGACTCTGAGGGCCCATCCTGCACTGTCACTCAAATTCTGTGGGCCCTGCTCGCAACATGTCATCCACTTCCACTTCAGCATCTACACCCAGGGTCAGAGCCAGGTTGCCTGACCTCCCAGCCCCACCCTTCCCAGAACACAGACCCCACTCCTCCCAAAAGCCCAGGGGATAAAAGCCCTGTCCTGTCCCCATGTACCTTTATCTGTTTGATTTCATACCGGATCATTTTTTTAGTGTCAGCAGGGTCTGCACTGGCAGGAATTACCTTCTCACTGGAGATTTTAGCCCGAATCACTGCACAGGAAGTGAAAAGAAGGAGCCTTCAGCAACTTGTGGGAGCAATCCATCTGGGATCTGGATGACCTGGGGCCCCTGGAGAATTTTGTAGGGGAATTTGGGTTGTGAGGAAGATGATGTAACAAAGTGGGGACCTGGAAACTCCTCCTGTGCAGTGAGGCCTGTTAGGTGCTACAATCTCTGTACTTTATCTGCTAGTTTTGAGAGTCTAGTTTTCCAGAGGCACTCAGTTTTCTGAGTGCCAGGGGGTGGAGGTGGGCATCAGGATAGAGGAGGGAGGAGGAGCTCTTTGAGGGCAGTTAGTGGGGTCATCTACTGGTATAGCCCAAGGTCTAAAACAGAGCCTGCCTAACATTGATATTAGTAAATGTTTATTGAATTAATAAATGATCTAGCCCAGCACAGAGAGAGGTAGTTCATCTTTTGCCATTTGGGCATTAATCAAAAACAATTTATGAAGCTTTTCCTCTGTGCCTGGCCTAACACTAGGTACTATGTTCATAAACATGATTAAGACAGGGTACCCAATCCTGCAGAACTCAGTCTAACGGCACAGCACAGTGGGAACACAAAAGATGTAGGAGATGCTGTGTGGCAGCACCAAGGAGTCAGGAAGCCTTCAGAGAAAAGGAGATAGCTAAGACTTTCAAGAATAAGTAGGAACTTGCCAGGAATTTAAGGATGGGGGGAAGGACATTCCAAGCAGAGGGAAGAGAAGGGGCAAAAGATAAACTTTTATAGTGAAAACCCAACTTTCTGGCCCCTGGTTTCCCCCTCCCCCATCCAGTAATTTAGAATAATCACAGGATAGTTCTAGTGATGTGTTCAACGACACAATTGCAATAGGCGGGGACGGGGAGAGGGGGTCGCTTTGGTAACTCCACTTACTGAGCTTGCAAGGTTGCTATGGTGTTGGTCTTGCCCGACCCATCAGCCCCAACAGGAGGCAACTGGGGCGGAATTCCCTTTCCCTCCAGATCACTGGTCTACAGCTCGGCCCTATACCAATCACACACAACCACTCCCTGCTGTGGACCTCCCGGGCCTTCCGACTCACCAAGCGCGGAGTGGCAGACGTGCTGCTGGGGGTGCGCGGGGGCGCAGCTGCACGCCTCGCCCAGTCCCGGCGGCCGCAGCAAAGCCAGCAGCCGCAGCAATAGCGCCCAGCTCGGCACAGTCTGGGGGCTCCGGGGCATGACACTGCAGAGCCCCAACTAAGCCTTTGGGGTTTGGTGGACCAAACAGCCCCTCCAGGGCTCCTTTAGAACGCCTCGCGCCCCTCGCCCTAGGCTTTATGAGGTGGACCTAGGACCAATCCCGCCCCATGAGCTCCGCCCTTCTTTGGCTGTAGGCCACTTGAGGCTGCCGGACCAGGACGGCGGCCCTTCTGACTGGCAGCCTCAATAAGATGAAGAGGAAAGCCAGGAGAGGCCCTTAGCTTCTGTTTCCTTGCCCGAGCAATTATAAGCCTTCCAGAAGTGGAGGGAAGGCACTGGGAGAGGGGTGGTGTCATGGCAAAAAGCGCAATTAAGACAAATGCAAGAGGCAGAAAGACCAAGGGACTGTGAGTTAGGCAGAAGGAACAAGAGTGAGGAGAGGCACAAACAGAGTGTGAGACAGGCAATCATAGAGAGGCAGACAGAATTACAACAGGCAAAAGAGACAGTGACAGAGAAGGACGAACCCCTTGCTGAGCTGCACGCTGGGAATAGGACAAGCTACTCAGGACTTCTTTCAGCTGCAGGAAGTGTTTTCAATGCCCTATTTAGAAGGCTCCAAAGCAACAGTAAACAGTAATGGGAAAAGAGAAAGTTGGGGTATGTGTGTGTTTGTGTGTGTCTTGGCTCCATTGGCTGGAGGGTAGGGGGGAGTAGGGAGAGATGTCAGAAAGCAGCCAGAAAGCAGCTTTGGAAACCCTTTTGCATACCCAGAGCCTCAGACTGCAAATGGCTGAGGACAGTACTTTGGGTGCAGACTCAAAGCACAGAGTATCCCATTACCTAGCACAAACCTGGGACCTCAAGGCCTAAGTTATACCGACTCATGTTGCTACTCACTTGAGAGATTATGTCTTATAAAGAATGGGGCAAAAATGTGTTTACAGATGTGAGGACATGAAGCACAATTTACTCTTGTATTATTTTCCATGTGAACAACTGTAAACCTACTTTGCCCCACCCTGGGGCAAGGTTGGGCAACTTAGAAAACAAAGAAGCAGAGCACTGGACTAGTGTAGTGAGTCTGGGGCCTTGCCCACTCTGCCAGAACAAAGTGCTAGACTGGAAAGTAGGAGTCTGGGTTCTGATTCTACCTCTAGGCAGCTTTGCTTCCTTTACCTGTCTAGGCCTCACCTTTTTCTTCATAAAATAGGTTGAACTACATGATTTCCAAGGCCCCTTGAAGCTCTTTGAGCCAACCTCAGCTGGCCTCAGCCAGGAATACTGAAATCTTCAGGTCAGACACTCCCAGTGTCTGGTCTACAGGATTTCCATGGGAATCTGACTTTTCTTCAGTCAACATTATTTCCCTCAAAAGATATCTTTTCATTTTAATGCCGCCGTGATGTTTGAAAAGAAGGACAGATGTTTGAAAGAAAGCTGAGCCTCACTGAGGAAGATGAGATTTGATGTCCAAGTTGGTTCTTCATACAACACTCAGACTAATAGAGTCTGGTGTGTTATTGGATGGAATCTCAAAAAGCATCCAGTTTCTTCATTCAGCAGATGGACTGAGGCTCAGTAAGGTAAAGTGACTTGTAGAAAGTCAGTGGCAGAAAGGACTAGAATGCAAGTCTCCTGATGTGTAGCCTCGTGTTCCTTCTTCCACTGAACCAAATTACTTCTTTCACTGCTATTTTGTAACAGCTTACATTCCTATTTTTGGAAGGTAATTCCTTTAAGTTTTTAATTATTCATCTATTAAAATACAGCTACCTCGAGGCAGAATTTACTCTTTTAAGGATCTTTTTCAAATGATAAACATGTTGAATTTTTATGTTAGCTCTCTTCCAAATCCCAAGCTGGACAGAAATAGGCCTTAGCATACTAAACTGTTTGTTGCTTGAGCTTGAGGTATTGGTGAGCAAAGAAGAGACTGATGGGAGGAGAAAAGACAGGTTCAATATATGAAAACTGGATGTTTGAGAGAGGGGGGAGGACACTAAGGTTTGTGACAAAAGGGACATTATGATTCCAAAGATGTATTCCTTTTGTAATTACAGTTTACTAGGGTATAATTTACATACAGTAAAATTCACCCTTTCAAAGATGCATTTTTTTCAAGTTATTTTTGGCTAAGGTCCAGTCCTACCCAGGATTTGTCTAATGCAAAAAGGGTCGAAACAATGAGTTTTAAAGATGTAGAAAGTACCAAGTAGGAGAACGGAATTCCCTTATAGATCTGCCACTAGCATGCTCTGACCTTGGGCAAGTCACTGTCACTCTACAGGCCTCAGAGTTTTAATTTATAAAGCACATAGATTGGGCTAGTTCTTTAAAGGGCCCTTCTGAGGGTGTTCCCAAGAAAAATATTTGTAACATTCTACAGACAGACACACTCTGACCAATTCTTTCGTTTCTTTTCTGCTTTCAGCTGACCCTGCCCACGTTCCCCGTGGTGGTGAAGATTGGCCATGCTCACTCAGGCATGGGCAAGGTGAGGCTGGGGCCTGATGTGCTTTGGGATTGAGGCCAAGGAGGGCAATTTTCAGAGAGTCTGGTTGTGGACTATTCTTCTCCCTGCCTCTGCCCCATTGCTAAGAAATTCTTTCCAAGGAGAAGGGGATTTGGCCTCTTTGAAGACATGAGTGGCCAAACAGGCCTTTTTTTAACAAGCAGAGTGCAGGCCACCTGCTTGGTTCTTTGGGCCTTTTGCAGTAAGCATGGCTACAGAACCGAGGAAGGGAAGCTAGAAAGAAGGAGTTTCCTAGGGAGATGTGGTACCTGGGCTTGCATCTGGATGGGAAACATCTTGATGGGTGTGGAGTCCCCGGGTTTTTGTGACTCTCAGTGTGTGTATATGTATGTCTCCTTTCCTCCCTCTCTGCCTTTTCCCAACATTAGGTCAAAGTGGAAAACCACTACGATTTCCAGGACATTGCTAGTGTGGTGGCCCTCACCCAGACCTATGCCACAGCAGAGCCGTTCATTGACGCCAAGTATGACATCCGAGTCCAGAAGATAGGCAACAACTACAAGGCTTACATGTGAGTGGGGGTGGGTTCCCAACAGATACTCTTCACTTTCTTCCCAGCCCAGTGGAGAATCCTTGAGCTTCCAGGTAGCAATCAGCTTTCAGTTTAATCTCATCTGTCCCACAGAGAGAACAGAATGAGGGTACCATTCAAATCAGGGAGTCTTATCCTGGGATCCTTTCCAGGCAGAGAAGGGGTCCATGAACTAAAATGAGAAATAAAATTAATATTTATTTTTATTAGTCTTTAAGTGAAATATGGCATTCTCCTCAGTTCTGACCAAAGGTAATAGATGGTAGTAGCAGCAGCAGCATGAATGACTTTGTCACTAAAGATAATCACAGAAATTTGTGTATTTTTATACAGTTGTGACAGATGTCTCTGAATACCAAGTACTGTTACCACTACTAACAGATCATGGTAATTATTAGACCTGCCACTACATTTATCCCTGTGAACACATTTGTTATTTATAAAGAAACATTTTTATTGATCATAAATTTGTTTAATATTTTATTAACTTTATTTGATAATTATTTTAAATAATTGAGTTCCTTGTTATCTTGTGTTCTTTACTGTATACATTTACACATCTTGTATATTTATACATTGAAAGGAAAGGAATCCATATGCTTCAGCAGACTGTCAGAGCACAGAAAAAGTTAAAACACTCCTGATGAAAATATATAGCTTTAAAAATACTACAGAGCATTAAACACCTAGTGGTTATAAGAATAGATGACTTCTCCATATAACTGTGTCCATTTGCCAGAATGGAAAGTTAAAGGTTTCCTGTGTTAGAATGTAGATAAAAATTTAACAAATTAAAATTAAAAAATAAAGAATTAAGAAAAAGAAAAGATTTCAAGACTTCCCAATCTTCTGTAATATACATAAGAATGCAATGGTTATAATTCCAGTTTTTGAAATACTGACCTACCTTTAGAAAAAAATTTAGGTTGTGCATTTGTGTTAACAAAGGCAGAACATTATAATACATGAATTTGATCTTTGCTACTCAGGACTTCAGCAGACTTCAAGGTTGAGCAGCTTTCCTTTTCCTTACCCATCCTTTTCATGTTTCTTCCTTTGTTCCTTTTTAGTCCTACTCCCCACCCCTGGAGTTAGTAAGGAGCCCTTTCCCTGTACTCCCTTCTCATATCTATAGTTTAATCCTTTTCACACATATGATTTGTTTCCCTCTGCTCTGAGATGACATGATAGCATCATCTCTGTAGGCCCACTGCCTTGTGCAGCGATAGACATGCAGTAAGCACCCAGTAAGTATTCAGGGAACAATTCTTACAGAGAATTGAGGCATAGAATTTTTTTTACCTTCATTGTTAGATTCCTACTTTGTAAAAGTTTATAATTTTTATTTATAGTCTTTCTGCTTCAGAAAGGAATTTAGGGTTTCTTTAAAATTATTCACAATATAAGACAAGATAATTTAAAAGACCATTTTAAAAACTATCTGAAACAAGCAGAAAAATAAATAAATATGTTCAGGCACCTAGGAAAGCAGATTTCCTATCCTTGGATATTAAAATACCCTAAATAAACACAAGGTTTATGACAATGAAGCCAGAGTGTTTTGATCCTTAAAAGGGGGACATGCCACATTTTTAAGGGCTAGGGTTTCCAAAAGCGATCGAAATAAAGCATAAGAGAATCCCCAACTGTAAAGTGAGGGCAAGAATACCAGCCTGCTCACAAAAGGGGGCTTGCAGTGAGGCTCTGGTGAGGGGCTTGGGAAGAAAGAACCTTGGAAAGCAGTCAGTAATGTATTACCACATCGGTCAACTCCCTGCACCTCAGGGCTCTGAAAAACTAGCTGTACTAGGTTTCCCAGCATCTGAAATCAGATATCTAGGGAGGGTGCTCCAGGAAACTGCTGAGAGGAGACTAGCACATCAATTTCCAGTCAGTAGTGAGTGATAAGGATTCTGTCACGGGTGTGAGCAGGGCATTTCTCTCCCCCGAGGACATCTCCATCTTCTTCGCTGTGTCTCAGTGAAGATTAATAATTAAAAAGACATACTTTTGCTATTTTACAACTCATTGAAAATTCTGAGCAACCTGTGTTTACAAAGGGATAAGG